AGGCTGGGTTTACATTGGATGTCGTAAGTCGAATAATGAACTGTGATTGGTCAATTCCTTCCGACACGACTTACGACATCCAAATGTAGACCCAGCCTTACTGACTTTACTGGCGTGCGAAAAACGCAGCACCAGTAATTTTCATTGCTACCAACTATACTGTTTTCACTGGCAGTAACTGAATCCATTTTCGAACACATCCATTGTGTGATGGGCTTTACTTTGAACTAGAGCAGCCAGTTCAGCTAAAACGAACAGACCCACTAGGTTGGTACCGTCGTGGTTGGTACGGCTGGTACAGTTGGTACGGTTGGGCGCGAGTGGTCGCGCATATTCGTGTGTTGAGTTTCGGGTACGCGTCGGGGCGAGAGCGCGTACCGTATGCATCGACGTTTCGAACGATTTTCGCGGCCGCGGTTTCATTCTGTGCGAAATATGTCGCGACTCTGCGCGGCTTAACGACGGGACGATACTTGGACGAGTCACTGTGAGTATCTTAATAAAGAACCGGCATCAGGAGTTAACTTCGCCTCGTAACCGCCAAAACTGTGTAGACGGAAACGCCATCTTGTGCACCGATGTTTATATTTTCACAAATCGAGGGACGTTCACCGTAGATTCCTCGCGTGCATTTTATGGGTTAGACCGCGCGCCGATTTCCACGCGACGCCGGTCCACGGTCCAATGCTGAGTCTGTTTCGCGCCAGGTCGCACCGGAACGTAACGTTTCGCCGCTGGAGGGAAATGTTTTGTTGATGCATCGAGCTTAGGCAGGATGGCGTTTTCCTCTTTTTCCCAATTGCGCTTCAACTTGAATCTCTGTTTCAAATGACTTACCAATTCCACTGCTTGCAGGTCAGCGCTAGAAAGATAAACAGAAATCATGTTTTACGCGCATTTTGTGTTGGCCAAGAAGGGGCCCTTGGCCCGTATATGGCTGGCCGCTCACTGGGACAAGAAGTTGACCAAGGCACACGTATTCGAGACAAACATAGAAAAGTCCGTGGACGGTATATTACAACCGAAGGTAAGCACTCTCTTGGAGATCGGAGCGAGATCCAACAGGTGCTTTGTTATCGTGTTGTCAAATCTTGATTGTGATATTTATGACAGGTAAAAATGGCTTTGAGAACATCCGGCCATTTGTTATTGGGAGTAGTGCGAATCTATTCGAGAAAAGCCAAGTACTTACTGGCCGATTGCAATGAGGCCTTTGTTAAGATCAAGATGGCCTTCAGGCCTGGAATGGTGGACCTGCCTGAAGAGCACCGGGAGGCAGCTGTGACAGCTATCACTTTGCCAGAAGTGTTTCATGACTTTGACACTGCTATGCCTGAACTCAAGTAAGATAACACTATTAAGCTCTTGTGTGAGAATCGTACGCGGTGTTTTAAATATCTGATGAGTAAATTTTCCCTTCAGAGATGTCGACATTGAAGCTCAGTTCAGTTTGAATCAGTCTAGAGCAGAGGAGATAACGATGAGGGAAGATTACGGCAGTCTATCTCTGGTTACGCACGATCAGGGCTTCGGTGACATGAGTTTCGACGCCGAGCCACCAGAGTTACTACGTCACGGCAGCGGCATGGAACCGTCGTTAGATCAGGTATTTATAAATTTTCCCAAAAGGAATTGTACATTTTAGAATAATGCAGATATTGCATAACAGCGGAACAGTCTAAATATAATATTATTTAAAAAGATAGACTCCAGTTCTTGTAAAAACATTTGTAAAATATGTTTATGGTTTCGTTATTGCACATATAACGTGACTAAATACTTGTAAACACTTTTTAAAAATGTCATTTTTGTGAATAAGCGAAGAACAAGCAGTTCTTATTATATTTTTTCGGAATTTTAACATTATATTGAGACATTAATTACTTCGATTCGATTTCTAGAGTCACATGTTGTTCAGCGATGGTCCAGGAATAGAAACGGCGCTGGAGCAGAAAGAGAAAGAGCCAGTTGCAGGAACATCTGCTACAGCACAGCCCATGGACATCGATACGCCTATTAGAGACGACGGGTTTGGTGGTCATCTTGGCCAGGATATCATATGTACGATAAAAATAATTAGTATTCCTTTTGCAACTGAATTCGATAGCCGTTAATAATTGTTGTGCGTTTTAGCGGGGGGTCTCTTTGAAGGCGGTTTATTTGACGAGGCCCCAATGGGCGAAGTACCCGTACCTGAGGTTAGTTCGATAAACGAGCAGCCGGAAGCGGGCGCGGCTCCTGGAACTGCTGCCTCCGTGCATGACGAATCTGACGAAGACATGGGCGATCATTTTGGCGGTCCAGCCTCTCCGATGGGAGGCATGAGGTATTCGTTAATTCTGGAAAATTAATAAGGTTCCAAAATATGTGACTGAGAAAGAAAAGTATAAAGCATGATTGATAGAATGCAAAGAAATATTTGTTCTAATCGGTCTGTCCAATGATCGTACTTTACTCGAGCAAACATACGTCCCTTGAATCGGGATGTACGTTGGTTTATTGTCAATAAAAGTAGTTTTTGTATGAATCGGTTAACTATGTTTCGATTTCCATTGCTTCGGTTTTCCTTCTTTGATTGATTATCGTTCTTGTTCATTGCGTTCTTCATTGTATGAAACTTTGGCTGTACACATTGAATACGTTATGTGTAGCTCTGACGGCTCGAGACCAGCCACACCAGTCGCGGCTGGAGAGGAGATTGAAGGCAGAATAAGCGTTGCCAGTCGGCGCTTTACACCAGCTCCGCCAGTTATGCCAGAGGAACATGCTATTGATAACATAGAGGAACCGCCACCTTTGCAAGATCAAACCACATTATTGCACGATGAGGAAGAGAGCTTCGCGCTAGCTCCGATTGATGCATCCGCTTTGAAAGGTAAATCTTTCTTTTTAACCCAACGTCGATGTGCACATTTGTTTCTTGTAACTGACAAAAAGTTCCCTCGGGTCGCCTAGGATTCACGAAGGCCAAACGCAAGCGTAAGCTCATTGTCGACGAGGTAAAAAATATTTCTGGCGAGGAGATGAAGGCGCAGCTATCCGATACGAGCGATATTATCACGACGTTGGACTTGGCACCGCCTACGAAAAGACTGATGCACTGGAAGGAAACTGGCGGCGTAGAGAAGCTCTTTGCTCTGCCAGGAAGGCCTATTCCGGCTCGCGTTCTATTTAAGGTAACAACATTTTGTGCTGTACGATTGCTTCGCAAACTCGGGGAAACTTTTATAATCAAATATTTTATCTCAATTATATCGTAACAGAATTATCAGAGGCATCTCACAAGCAAGTCTTACGATCATGAGGATTTCGGTCGACTTGGAACTGAGGAAGATGGAATGTCTTTGGAGCAAATGAGAGATGGTCCAGAAGAAGTATCCTCTTTAGAGCAAAGCATTCTCGGTAAGCGTACAGGACGTAAACGGAAAGCACCACTGGATGATGAGGTTAGTTATAAAAATAAAAAGGGGAATTTTTTTTTAAAGACTACATCAACCGGCAAATTTTAATGGAATATTGTTACTGTGTTTAGATAAGGCAGCCTCCTCAACCACCCCAACCAACTCCAGCGGATATCAGCCAACTGAATGAAGCGGTGGAAATTCCAAACATAATAGCACAGCATAATCTTTCGGAATCGTCCGTTGCACCGGAGGTATCTTTACCAGCGGAACCGTCGGTTTCCGATATAAGCAGCATTGTGCCTTCCGGCGAACCATCAGACGTACCACCGATTACCGAGACGCCTTTGCTCGGTTCGGAAATACCGCAAATCGCGCCAACCGACGTCGGCACACACGAAGAACCCCAAATACCATTAATGTCGGCGCAGGAAGACGCCACCGTACCTACGTCCGATATGCCGCAGATGGAAAACATGGGTTACGATCAGGTGCGTTGGGAAACTTTCGTTCTGTGGCAAATGCACGAAAAGAATTAATTTAGTTTCCTAAGGCCTGGTTGCACCAACGTCGCTTAGATTTAACTTTAGCTTATTTCACTCTTTGTCTCTTTCTAAGGGAAACAGTTGGAAAGCGACAAAGAGTGAATTAAGCTACAGTTAAAATTACGTGACGTTGGTGCAACCGGGCCTAAGTCTTCGGTTGTGTCACTTAAAGCTTAAATTTAATATAGAAACTATTGTGTATATATAGACGTTCATATCAATACTGTACATGATTTCAACAGGCACAACCACAGGTTTCGTACATGGGCTATGACGAACAGCATCCTCCAGCGCATACGCCTGGTGCAATTTCCGAAAGAGGACCTGCCACACCGTGGAACCATGAGGATTACGAGTTTCCGCCATCCGTGGGACCTGTAATATACTTAATATTATTCATAAATTTATATTTCTGTTTAAGTACTTACACAGGGGATGGACAAAATAATGTGAACACCATGCTAAATATTACACATTTGTTTATGTTGGGCCCCCTGCCAAGGTATGAACGATATGGCGCGTATATGTAGTGCACATCGCGTAGTAACCGTTCTAGTTTATATTTCAATATACTACTCGCTTTGTTCTACCACGGTGTTAACAATCGGATGGTGAAATGGACGACCTGACAGACTTCGAAAGAGGCCAAATCTGTGACGAAAACGGCTGAACTGTTTAACGTTTCACGAACGACAGTATCCACGGTGATGACAGTCTACAAAACATGGCAAAACAACATCTGCGAAGAGAAAAAGTAGACGCAAAACAACGTTAACAGATAAGGACTGCCGAATTTTATAAAGGATTGTGGCCAAGCAACATAAAACTACCGCAGCAAAGGTGATAGTAGAACTTGACAGTCACCTGAACAATACTGTTTTATAAAAACAGTGCGGCGGGAGCTCCACAAAGGTAACATTTATGGCGGGGCTGCAATTTCAAAACCTCTTATAACGGATGCCAACGCGAAGCTGCGAAAGAAGTGGTATAGTCCGATGAATCATCGTTTACTTTATTCCACGACGAATTACAGTTGTCTTAAAAGCAAACGGTGGCCCTACACCTTATTAATTAACAAATATTGTGTTAGTCAAGTGTTCACATTATTTTGTCCACCCCCTGTATATATAGATATATAATATAGTTTTCTATTTTCTATTCTATTTTATATATTTATTTGTTACAAGTTTTCGCGAAAATTTTTTTTTTAAATTTATAACGTTAATTGCTTATAATTTTTATTTTCAATATCTTTTAGCAAGAGGAACAACAAATGGACGAAACTTATGAGCAGTTTGAAGAACGCGTTCTTAACAAAAGAGCAGCGCATATGTATCATGTTATTAAGAGCAAACTAGATACCAAAGATAAATTAACATTATCAGAGATGGCATTCAAAAATAATCGCAAACAGGTTGGTACCTTGGCAAACGATCCATCATCCGTGTTCGTCTCTCTGTATGAAAATTTTATATAATGTAAAAAATGATTGTTTTTGCAGGTTGCACAGAAGTTTTATACGCTGTTAGTCTTGAAAAAGTTCCAAGTATTAGAACTCAATCAAGAATATTCGTATGCTGAGATAATAGTCACAAAAGGACCAAAATTCGAAAATCCTGCGTTATAAAGATTTACGCTCTCGATTATAAAGCTGCGTGTATCAATGATGTTGATATATATTATTACACATAAAATATCAAAATGACATTCGTTCTTTCCTAAAAAAAATCCTAAATTATGATAGTATAAAGATTTATTGATTTAAAATAGAGTTATTTGTGACAAATGAGAAAATTTCTCTAATTTTTTGGATTCCCTGTCTTGAAAAAATGTATAATGAATATTAATTATTGTGTAATCATTTTAATCGTGTTGCATTCCTTTCTTTTCATACATATATGTATTAATATATACTACATTCACTTTTCATTGATATGCTTATTAACTTTGTCAAAATTTCTACAACTGATTGCGTCCTGTATTATTCATCAATCCGAACAGGATTTGTATATAAATATAATGAATAGTTGAAGAATTATTTTATGACATGTATCATCATCACTCGACTCTATATATTACAAAAGGTCCAAAACTACAGGTACACGTTTGACATTAATAAATTTTGACACAATTATCAATTTTTATTTGGAAATGTTTCATAATAAAAAATGCAGCTAAATATTTTCATATTCTTAATTTATATTCAGATGCAGAAACTAATTCAAGAATTTATTTATAGTACTTATATACATTTATTATATATAAATAATATTATGTATTCATTTATTTGTAATGTAAACAGTTATTAATGGAAGAGTTAATTTAACTATTTGTGAATAATAATTTTATGTATTATTGCCAGAAGGTATATATTTTCTATTCACATCAAAATATATACCTTCTGTATGAAAATAGCAGACACAAGAAACTAAACAATAATTGTGGGATTTTCATAAACTTTTTATTACGGTTCACTTTTTCATCGATTAAATTTATATTGTCAAAATTATCACTTATCACGTTTGTTCTTAAATGTCTACTTAAAAATATGAATAAAAACTATCAAATGAATAAGTTAGCAAAATTTGATTATAATACTATTTTCAAAAAGAAAGTATATACTGTATTATTAAAGAACATTGTTTAATAATTTATTGTTGTATTTGTATGTCTTATGATGTACAAGAATATTACGAAAAAAATAATATATTGTCATTCAAGTTTCAATAATCAATAAATGTTTGTCATTCAAGTTTTGCGATAAAAGCATAAGTTTACACTGTAAATATATAACCTCGAGAGAACAAATCGTTGAAGCATACTCGCAAAAAAATAATTTAGTAATGTATCATTAAGTTTAAAATCAGTTAACTGCCAGAATGTAACAAATATATTGTAAATAACATATATTTAACAAGACATGTTCACTGAGCAAATAAATATCGTTTATACGTAAAACCGTTTATAAACGATATTAAATTTATCGAACATACATATCATATAATACTTAAAACTGTTATTCTCCATTATTTTCCATTAATGAACTGTTATAAGTATATATTAAATAATTTATTAAGTTAGTAGAAATGTTTTTTTGTCAGCATTTTTCTTTTATATGTGTGATGCTAGGAAAATATCATCTGAACTTATTATTTGTAATATGCTACAGTCTACAAAATATTCGTGCTTTTTCACTTCATGTGGGATTTGTATGTTAAACATATTTTTATCTGAAATAAAATTGATAATAGGCGTGCATAATACGTATGATTTAAGTCATATTATTTAAGTCATTCATTGTTAAATAATTACATAGACATTTGGATAAGATTGATATGATTAGTATAGACAGTACGAAATACATTTTCGACATACTGTAAATATCATGACAATTAACTACAAAATTTTCTCTTACAATTAAACATGAACAAATTTATTCATATAAATCAAAGAATGTAAGTTTAAGGACATCCTAGTTTTTAGTAATAAACAGAAAATTAAATATATCCTACATTTTTTCAATACGAACATTACATGTATTCTATTGTATTAATGCAATCAAATAAGGTTAACATATAAAAGAGATCTAAATTTTTGCAGCATTTCATGTGCACACGGATTTAAACTTGTATGCATGCAATATACGAGCGGCAAGTTGTAATTAAATCTTTATTATCGCGTAATACTTGTATGCGCAGTAAAATTTACAAATCTTTTACATTTTTCTCGTATAAACGCATTGTATCCAACATAACACGTAAATGCATTTCGATATTAATCTTCCAACTCTCCAGCGTCCATGGCGTCTTGATAAGATTTAGATTTCGAACGCTCGGGATCTAGTTTAATCATATCATCGATTCGAAGAATGGTTATAGCCGCTTCAGTAGCAAATTTCAAAGATTTAATTTTTGAAATGGCTGGCTCTAACACACCCGCTTTCTTGTTATCTCTTATATTTCCCACGAGTAAATCGAGACCCACCCTGCAAAAAATATAACAATTTATTTAACTTTTTATTTTATACGACTATAAAGAAGGCCAGTGAAAACTTACCATTTCAAATCGACGAGGTCTGGTTTTGTTATACTGGAATTATGATAGGCTCGGAGCTTAGCGACGAGGTCAGTTGCGTCTTGTGCAGCGTTTACGGCTAACGTTTTTGGTATAATTAATAGAGATCGAGCGAATTCCGCGATGGCCAGTTGTTCTCGGGAGCTCTGAAACATAGAGGCGCGTAAATATTTCATGCCGAGGACAGAAATTGATAGGAAAAAAATGCGGACTTTAACAATACCAATGATGTCGCGAAGTTTTCTAGATATATTGAGAGCGCAGCTTCCACGCAGCCTCCTCCCGCGACGACGCTCTTACTTTCCAGGACCCTCTTGACGACGCACAACGCATCATGAATGGAACGTTCCATCTCGTCGCAGTAATAATCGTTTGGTCCACGTAAAATGATAGAACTCGCTGTACGTGCCTTGGGTCTTAAAATTCGAAAAATAGATAAATCGTGCTTTTATCAGTATCTTTCTTAATACTACGTATGTGAAGTGACGCGTGGCTCATTGCGAAAGTGGCCGACTAGTAATCGGTAGGTCCCACGGTCGAGAACCGACCGTCGCTTCACATATACATATTCGCTCTAAAAGCTAGAGCTTCACATTTTTCTCGGTCCTAGGAATCCTAATAGATAGGATGAGCGGTCTCGTAGAGATTGACAACTGAATCTCGAAAGCGGTAGCCACAGAAAAATTAATTTAGAAACCGTTCGCTATTCCTACTTCTATCACTAATTGTGTTACGTGGAGAAATCTCATCATAGAAATATGTTCAATACGGTAAACGCTATTAATAGCAAAATATATACCCTTTAATCAAGATAAGCTCGTCGTCGCAAATCATGTCCTGTACCACTTCGGCCGCCTCCCCCAAGAAACTGGCGTCGAAGCTCTCCTCTCCCTCCATGTTGGTCAGCGACGTTAGAAAATGTGCGCCCGTCGCCTTGGCGATTCTCTTCAAATCGGCCTTCTTGCATCTGCGCACCGCCATGGTCTTAGTTTCCACGAAATACTGCGGAAATATCGAAGTTACGCTGATTTCCATTACTTGAAAAATCAAAATGAACAATACGCGGAATCCATTGCTCGAAATGTCGTCTATACCTTTAGGCATAAATCGTCAATGCCACCGGACAAAAGAACGACATTGGTCCCGGCGGCAAGAATCTTCTGTATGCGTTCCTTGGTGATGTCCGCCTCGCGTTGACGAACAGCCTCGAGTTTCTCGGGATCTGTGATAAGCACCTCGACACCCAACTTCATTTTTGCCTTCTGCAACGAGAAGTCTAGACACGCGATCTTTGCGTTTGCTATTCTCTTCGGCATCGCTTGAGAAGCGACGGTGCAGTTTAGAGCATATCCCTGAACCAAAACCGATTCCCGGACACTCTTCCCGTGTGCCTTCAAGACATTCACTGCCTTAATGGGATACAAAAATCCTCCCTTGCCGTCGCCAACTTTTATCGCGTTAGCAGCGTCAACCACCATGTTGCCAAAGAAATTGGCATCACTAATTATTAGTTATAGGAAATATCTCACATATTCCTTTTACCTAGTAATCGAAAACAAACCGCAGTTCAGAGTCGCAAGTAATATAGAAAAAGGATACGCTCCAATAATTTTGCTCGACATAGACGTCTTTGCAACGTTTACTAAGCAATCCCTCCCAAGTTCGTCCACACTGACAGTAAGATGTTCCTGAATATACTTGCAGGCTTCTCTGAAATTGATTTCACGCGAAAATTGTATCAATTAAAAATGTCCTTTTCTCTCTTTACTTGATAGATACACAATTATCTCTTGTTCACTAACAATTTAACTATTTAATCGACGATGCAAATTGATTTCACATCGAAAGTAAAACGATTAATAAAATGGATCGCTGGATATTTACTTGCAAGCGAGTCTGTAACCGCTAATGACCGAAGTTGGATGTATCTTCTGTTTCACAAGCTCATCCGCATTTTTCAAAAGCTCCGCCGCCACTATGACCTACCAACATAAAATAGCATTTTATCGAGTGCACATCTAAGTGAAAATTCTACTAAATATCCAGAAATAGAACTGGATCGCTCACCACTGAAGTAGTGCCGTCTCCAACTTCCATGTCCTGTAACTGGGCCAATTCGACTAAAACTCGTGCAGCCGGGTGCTCGACTTCCAACAAGCGCAGGATGGTCGCACCATCATTGGTAATAGTGACATCCTGGGAACGACACAATTAACATAAATATTTCGTTGCAAAAACTTTACGTTTATTTTAAGAGGTACAGAAGCTACAAGCACATACACCAATATCGTCGACCATCATCTTATCCAAGCCAACTGGACCCAACGAGCTCTTGACTATATTAGCGATAGCGCACGCAGCCATAACTGGAAGAGACACAAATAAACAATATATGAAATTTCAATGTACAACTGTACGACTTCAAGATTGACATTTTTGTTTCTGACAAAAATTAATATCAAAATACAGACATGAAGTATCTCTTATTCACATGAATATGATTTATCGCACATTGATCTTTCAACAGAAAGACTATCCGACAAAATCAACATGCACGTGTAGCATCTTGCGTTAGGTAGCCATTCATTTCCGGTTTGCCGGCCTCGATCACCGAAATGTTCTGCGCGATTTCGCGCGAGACGGTAGCGAGAATATTTGAAACAACTTGCTTCTGATGTCCGTCGATTCCGTTTCGCTCGAACTCATGAATTTCTCAGCGGGGAAAACGGCAATCGATACGGCGCGAATGAGGACGGCACGCGGAGCTCCCGTGGGACGACGCGATATAACCAAACTCTACGAGACTAGTCTAAATTCATACCATTTTGCGTTCGCACCGGCGCCCCGGACTGTCGGATGCCACCGACGGCTAAGGGACTCGCCACCGTCGACATTGCGAGGAGCTCGCTGTTGTTCTAGCACGACGCAGGAACCACGTTGATCGGGGAAACGACGAGAAAAATGGAGGCGCAAGCCGAAGAAGGATCCGCGTCAGCCGCGTGCGACTGCAAACAATAGCGACGGTCAGCGCCCAACTTCGTCTCCTACTTCCTTTTATGGTCAAGTGCGGCATCAGCGGCTATTGGTCGAACGGCGTTTCGTCCTCGAACGTGATTGGCGACGAGTTGGACCGAAAGGCGGCGGCGCTTCTCTTCCCGCCACGGAAATATTTTTTTTTACTGGAAATATATATACAGATGTATCGATAAAATTTTGCTGGAATGTACTCGAAAGCTTCCCTCATTTGACCTCGTTTCATTATCTTGACGATATTCCCTGCTGGAAATAATTCTACAAAAATATTAAATATAACTGCCAGAATCTAAGAGATTCTACGTAAATTTAAAGTGTTATAAAAATCAACACAAAAATGCTAAAATTGAACCACTTTTGTTAATTTTTGTAATATTCTACAAGTAAGCAGATGTTTGAATTCTTTAAGATTTCGTGGTTTCTCAAATTTTTAAAACTAGTAAAGTTTTGCACTAATTTTTACAAAATTGTAAATTTTCATGAAATACTACTTGCAATAATTTCTTGATTTGAGAACATTGTAATTTGTGATACTATTTTATAGATCTTTTTACAAAGAAATAAATGTTTCAACGAAGATATTAAAATTTCTACAAATTTCTATTTCAAGTCATTTTTTTGTAGTTATTTATAGAAATTTTTTCCGCTATGGTTTCAAGAAGTTTTCAAAAAGTAACATGGTTATTTGGTTAAATTCAACAAACTGCATATTGTATTTCGTAATCTTTATTGTTTTTCATACTTCGGCGTATCCTTAAAATATAAGGCTTGTTTTCTATTGTTCATAGGCGAACTAGTGCAATAAATTAGAGTAAGACAAGTATATATATTTATTTTCATTCTAGCTTGCTAGTTCCGCTTAGGACGTTGAGTGAACAGCACGTCTTCTAGCCTAGAAGAGAAATTTTTATCTTCGGGGTTGCATCATCCCGTGCGAGGCCCGATAGTTGGGCCTCCGCATTGTATTAACTTGCACATACACTTATCGGCTATTGGTTAGACTTGGCCGTATTGGATCCGGACGGAGCCAGGAGCCAGTGAACTTATCAATAAGACAATAATTCTAGCTTGCTGCACTAGTTCACCAGTGCAACAATAGAAAACAAGCCTATAATTACAATAGTAGAAGAAAGTCTTCTATTATGAGATAGGGTCCTAATATGAATAGCGGGGTTTATGTTAAATTAACAGGCATCAGTTGATTCCACTATGAACTTATTGCCCTTGGAACGAAGTCTGTTAAGTGTAATCGTTGCGAAAAAAGATTTGATTGAATTTGGGTGTTGAAAACCTGCTATCTCATATAAGAAACCTATCTCATAATAAAGGACTTTTCTCTATGTAAAAGAAGGGAAATATAGAATATAAGAGAAATCACTGTATCTACAATAATACATCCACAATCTGTTTTAAGTTTTTTAGTTAGAACATACGTATAATCATTGTACATTGTATGTACAGACCGCAAACTTATTATTGTTAAAAAAAATGTATAATTATTTCATTTTCCTTTGCTTTACCAGATGATTTTTCAGAGCTATTTGTTTTTCCCTGAAAGATCGTTTTACTTTCACTTTTAACTTCTGCTTCAGCATCGAGAATGCTTTTCCTTTCCTCTTCTCTCGATTCGTCGTACTGCACAGTGGATTCTGTCGTCGATCTTTAAAGCCAAACTTGTCTCGTTCTTCCTGTCCCTTCTGCAAATTCAATAATATCTATAAGTTATTCTAGCCCACACATCAAATTGAAATACAACGGATACAAACCTTCACAGATTTCTGTCGGGCAGCCTTATCATGCTTGCGCTTCTTGTATATGTTTTCAATAGCGCTAAGTTTTACCAGTTCTCCACCTTGTTCCGTCTCGATTTGGTCGCGCGGCCTCTTGACGCTACGCTTAACGTACGTTATATCTTGTTTCGCTAACGCAACATCGATCTTTCTGAAATCTTTGTCCGTGAGTAATCGCTCAGTGGATATCACAGACGCTTTCGTCTTCCTCTCAGCCGTTAATTCTTCCTTCTGCTCAGACTTGTGCTTCGCTCTCTTCTCTAATTTTTGCGCCTTCTTCTGTTGCTTCGTCAACACATTTTTCTTTCGCGAAACTTTATCTGTTTTTCCTTCTCCGCCACCCGTGTCGCAAGTATTCTCCGCGCTGTTATTCTCGCTATGTGATAACGTTGAAGTCTCGTCATCTTCATTTTCGCTAATGGAAGATCTCGTTTCGTCTAAATCGGCCGTCGACTCGTCCCCGCTGACTTCCTCTTCGTTGCTTTCATTTACGTCAATCCACTCGTCGTCATCCTATTTAAATAGATTTTTATACAATTGTTACGTAGGCTGAAAATTGAAGAAATAATTATGTTTTTACTTACGTCTTCGTCGCTATCGTTAGTTTCCTCAGTATTCTCGGCAGGTTGATTACACAAAACTTCTGCTCCCGGCACAAACTCGCTCGCTCGAATTTCGCCGTATTTGGAAGACTTTATCATAACATTGGCTTCCGTGGGACGGCCTCTGTCCTTTTTACGTAATAAATCGGGCATTATACGACGGAACGTGCCAATTAAAGAATGCGCCGCCATCATGACGGAACGTTCCTTGTATTGCTTGTACCGTGTTAAATCCTCGAGCAAGTCCTCATTCATGGCCAATGGACATCGTGTACATATCTCACGTACAGTATTCAAACTGCAAATATACGTTTTAAATAGTGATACAAACTACAGCATTTATATTCGTAACAAATAATGATTAAAATATTATTTGCACATACCCAATAGCCATCACATCCGCAGAATTTCTTTCCGTTATAAAATTGTTCGCCAGCGTCTTCAAAACGGGTTCTAACACCTCGGGTGGTACTAATTCGTGTGAAGCCTGAGCTATAAACTGCAAGAGTTTGGTAACCTCTGTAGAAAAACAAAGAAAATATGTACATGTAAATAAAAAGTTGTATGAGAGCTGCATGTTCTTTGCATGGCTTGAAACCAGAAAGAATTAGGTATAACAATTAGGATCAACAGTAAACAGATACACAAACGGAATTTTTTTCTGAAAATTGACCTGCATTTTAAAATTTTACCATACATTTTACTGGTAAAATCATAAGTCTTTGAAATGCCATATTGTCCCACGATTAGATGATTTTCAGGGTAAATTTTAAGAGAAAATTTTTTCGGTATAAGGAGAACAGATACTTTACTTGAAAAAAATTGAATCGAGATATTTAAAAGTCTAAGTACTTAGGAATTAGAGAATATTTGAGTAGTAACAATAATTAATGACGTTATTAGTCTCACCTCGTTGATGAGGCTGAAGGAACCTCTGTATATATGGATAAAAATTCAAGAGGAATAAATTATGCAGTCCAATAAGTCTAGAGACAACATCCAGAGTCATGAGCTTCACTTCGAATCTATCATTATTTTTTTCTATCTGCTTGAACAATCTTTCAGCAAAATCCTGAGGGTCGTGAATTAGATGCAACGCTGAAAAATTATATTGCGGCGCCTTGGATTTCTTCTTCTTGTTTTTCTGGAAGATTAAACATCAAAATTAGAGATCATAGTTTACACTTTCCACGAATATGTGACAAATTCTATAAAATCAAACCACTTACTACAAATGACTGCTTAGCTTTCTTTAATTGCTTCTGTCGTTTCTTCGTTTTTTTATTTACTTTATTAGCCAACATAACTTCCTTCATACTTGGCTCATCGTCCGAATCACTGTCACTTTCTTTTTCCTCTGGATCGGTGCCCAAAAAGAATTTCAAACTAGCGACTGTCACTTTGGTTATTTTCGAAAAGCAACCCGTTGCTATGACGTTAACAGTCTTGACGTCGTTCCAGACATTTTTATTGTACAATTCTATCATAATGTCCACAGACATCTTCACGGCTCTGACATTAGGATCTTTTAGCATAGAGAACATGAAATTTTGTAACACCGTATTGACTTTGGCATTCTTATGCTTTGCATTAATATTTTTTATATCCGTTATTATATGCGTTTGAAGGAACTGCCGTAAGGCCTTGTCCTGACATTTTAAAAGCTCGAAAAATAAACTGAGAAGCGCAGTAGGTTCTAGGAGGGATTTGTTGCGTAGCTGGATCAACGCTTTACAAAACGTCTGTAAAGAATACAGTTATAATGTAGTACTGACTTACGCGCGATCTTGTATTTCACAGCATAATTTAACATCTATGCATATAATGCTTACCATTCGCATTTCATTGTCTAGTATGATATTGTGAGTTCGTAATATATCGACAATCTCTTGAGGATATGCTTTCAAATCATCTGGATAACAATGGGCTACCTGCAATGATACGCAAAATGGTAGACAAGCTTGTTTGACACACGCATTATTTTATTAAATGATTTTAGAAATTATAAAAATAGCAATTAATACAAATTATTATCTATGCTGTTGTATGCGTTACATTCCTTATACACACATAGTCGATAGCTACATTTAATTTTAATTTAAATATTTAAATCTGAACGCGTTGTAACGTAGGAAATGTTTAAATAAATACAATATATGTATTTGCAAAACTTTTAATAAAAAGAATCTCAAATTATCACATAATTCACACACAAAATTATATTTCTCATATTCTAAATTTGTTTTATGCATTACAAGCTATTACGTGCTAAATGAGTAAAAATAGAATCTTATCCTAACACAAATGCGTAAATTTTTTCTCCAATACTCAAAAAGTTCTCGTAAATAAATAAAGCGTTAGGTAAAGCTATCGGAAACAAGCATACATATGAAATTATAATTAAAAATGAATACAATAAATGCATGTGTATATTTCAATTCATGTTCGTGCTCAAGTAATTCTTTATTTCAAAACCAATCGTCTTAGCTACGACGATAATAAAGTCGTGGCTCGCGCAGCACTTGAATTTTGTTTCATCCAACTGCGTGACGTTATCTCCGACGATAGAGAGTAGACCAAGCTGGCACATGGTAGATATTTGAGCCAGTAAATTGGCATTGATGTCTACTTTCTCGTCGAGAATAGCGCAGAAGATCGCGAGCATCCGCGAGATAGTGAAAACGCGAGATCTCTTTTGCCCGTCCTCTCTCGTTCTCTTAATCGACCGTAACTTTTTCCGTTTCTTACTACGCTGCTTCATAAAAATATGCTTGTCGTATTTGGCAGGATTGTACGAGGCCAGATACGCGGCGATTAGCATGTACTTGGCGTAAAACGGCAATTCGAAACTCAAAGCTAGCTTCGTCGTCGACTCGATCTCCCGGGACATTTGTTGATCGGGTTGCAGAAAGTCGCCCGTGGAAACCCTGAGGTAAATGATTTCCAAATTGGATTTCAGAGTAGCGGAGATGTTTCGCCAAAGTGCAGCAACATTATCCGGCTCGATTCGCTTGCTCTCTATGGGCTCTACGTATTTAGCGAAGTTTACTTTGGCCATGTGCCGAAGCTCGTTCAGATCTCTACAAAATCGGAAGTATACGGAGAGAAAGAGATTCAAGTAATTCTTATAAAAATCCGTGCCGTAATTCGCCGGCTTGTCCAACGACAGCAATTGGGCCAACTCGTCCTTCGTGTATTGGGGAAAATAAATCTTCACGGGCTTCGACGCGCCTATCTTGGTGTTAAACTTATCCCACACGATCTCGCTTATCAAAATCGTGCATATATTAACACCAGACAATTCTCTGAGTCTCAAGATCGCCGGCAAAAAGGTCGCGTCGAAATGTCTTATCTTGTGACATTTATCGAACACCAACACGATCGGACGTTCATCGTTGTCGGAGATCTTTTTTAGCGCCAGTATGAAATCCATAATATTGTCGCATCTCGATCGCACATCACCGCCCAATTCTTCCGCGGTTGCGGCTAGATCGTCCAGGATATACTTGTATACGTGTTTGTTGCCTAAATGTTCGATACAATTAACGTAGCTGACGTTATACTTTAAATGATCGAGCAGACTTTGTACGATCAACGACTTTCCAGTGGCCATGTGCCCGTAAACGAATAAGCTCTCCGGCATCGGTTCGTCCGCTTCGCCGATCAAGGAATACAGCCGTGCTAAGACCTTCTCGCGGCATACAATGTTACTCTTTCTTATCTTCTTTAAATATTGTTCCATGATTACGCCTTAAAATTATCTTAGGGGATAGAACAAGTACAATTAATTTGCAGCCTTTGTCGCTTACACTGCGTCACGCACTCTCTAAAGAAGGTAAACGACAACTATGACAATTAGCGCTCTTATAACGGACTTACGGCGATACTTAAATTTAGGCGAGTCGCGCGTGTACGTCGGTCGCTTCTATATTTCAAGCATTTGTGCTAACCTGAGCCAAGAAGGTTACCAATTCATCGAGACTTTTGTTAAATTGCGTGGGCTCCAAACGGAAAACTTCCAAAGTGGACTTGTAGTGCTGATGTTGCTGAAGAAACTGCAAACGAACGTATTACCTGAGACTCTTGAAATAATCACGAGCTACTTTCTCTCGTACACTAGCATACAAGCATACGCAAAAAATGGCTCGTAATCCACGTTAGGATAATACGCAGCGATGTAAAATTATATTGTAACTAAGGCTGCGGCCCAACTGATGCTGCAAATGCTTCGAAGCGTTCTTCTATACTTCCTTTCTTTAAAAGGAAGGGAAAGAATGCTTTGAAGCATTTGTAGCATCGAGCGAATCGCAGCCCAAGTGCTTCACACATGCATGTGTTAAGGCCTGTGTCCACGATGCTGGAACCTGATCTGAGTTCTAGTTCTGAGAAATGTGTAGTCAATGAACTTGTTATTCCATACACAGAATATAAAATGTAGCTGCCGTAGCTGAAAACTGTATGTGGTAACGAAATTTCACTTGTAAAATATGGACAGCTGATATTTAGTTGTGATATCTAATACTTTGCTACTGTGCCTATTGTATTAGGTGCGATAGAAAACCGTTTGCTGTGGTTTAGAAATTTATAATTAATGCAGCAAAATACTTTTAGGAAATCATGATTAGCTATGGTAGCAAAAATTTTTTTTCATTGCAAAAGCTGCAAGTTGATCGGCCGCACATTTCTCGGAACTAGAACCTGGACCAAGTTCTAGCATCGTGGACAAAGGCCTTATAGATTTGTATAACATGTAGAATGAAAAAGGCCAATGTGTCAACAAAGAAAGGATAAAAAGATACAAATATAAAAGGCGTGGCTGCGAGATTGATCAACTTGAGCCAAGTTAGTCCCACGTTAGTCTCGATCCTCATTTCGCGTATGCTTTAATTTTGACATTCATTCGAGCGTTGAGATACAAGAGTATACGAGACAAATAGCAACTCGTTTTGGAAACCTGCATTTTGTTTACATAAGAAACAAACGTATAACGTGGAGAAATAAAATATAAAGCAAAGAGCTCACCTCTTCCTTGTAAGACTCTGGATCACGTTTGATAAGATTCTGCAGTTGTGGAAGATTATCGGGCAACTGATTGTTATGTCTCACCATGTTCAAGATCTGTGTGAACAAATGTCATTTTAAGAAATATGCAATATAGATTTAGCAAAGCTAGTAGGAAAATTGGAAGAGTGAATAGTACCAGAGTAACGATGGGCCAGTATTCTTGGCCCGTTCTTACATTTGAGATCAACTTAAGTGTAATGTATCAAGTGTCGTAATAGCGTTGTAAACCATCGATAGAGCCGTATTAGCAGTTTAGAATTGCTCAAGATGATCTTGTAATAAAATCGGACGATGAATACCGGCAGATGTATTTTTCATACCTACGATCTACGCGATTTCGAAACTTCTGCTAGGTTAATGGCTCCTGCTTTCGGTCCTTAGATCATATATATTGTTCCAGGTTTCGGGTAAAAGGCAGTAGACGATTTCAAGTTATATATTTGCGTCCAGACGAATCGTTACAGTTGAATAATTGCTCTTGTTTGAGTAAACAATAACCTCTTCCGGAATTAGCGTAATTAATTCTTATAAATCGTTTCGGTCTAGATCCGCGATAAAACACTTCAAGCCTACCCCATGCTCCTTCGCAAAGGATAAATTATAAGTTTCTTAAGTCTTCGCAATGTAATATCAAATTCATTACAGTTCCTTCCAGTTCCTTCGTACTACACGTGCTGCACACGCGGGTAAAAAAAAGGTAACGGAACCAGTGATGCCAAACCAAGGCACTGAACTATTGGTGCCTTTTCATTTAAAGCCTCGTCTACATAGAAGTCGTAAAGGCCTGTGTCCACGATGCTAGAACTTGGTCCAAGTTCTAG